TCTCCGCTTCGTGAGTTACACTGGCTTCTTCTTCATTAGGGAAAAACACTTTTATAGTTCTTCATTGGTATTTGTTTGTCGAAGAGCTTAAGTTTTGGAGGGTTTAAGCATGTTCGACGTCAGATTCCGTCTGTTTATATAAATTGGGATTCATGCATCCCAAGAAATTTAATTTGAAGAAAAGATGTTCTCTGGGATAAAAAAGGTAAATTTAATCAGTGACATTCTAGACTACTTCCCCAGCTCGTCTTCGGACTAACAAGACTGTGCAACGAACGACTAAAATTTCAAACGCTCGGAAAAAATCAATAATCATATGGAGTGGGAGCTGATTGCTAGCTTTTGTTTCTGTCAGTCTGCATTGTGCGGCCCCCGTCCCTTCCAACGTCCTTTGAGATGTTTATGAATTCCATCTAACTCTATGTGTGGGTTGAGGCATGAATCGTGGGTGTGCAGGGCTTCAAGAAATTATCGGCCTTTTCTCGACGATGCGTGTCATGTCCCATGCGAAGTTGTGTTCTGTAGCAAGCCTATGCATAGCAGCTTCGGATAAATAGTCATGTCTTTTCACTGACAGTTGGTGCTCGTGAATGCGTGTAGAGACGGACCTTCCTCTTTGGCCGCAATATACGGTATCACAAGCTTCGCATGCGATCTTGTAATCGATTTCTTTCTATTATTCTCATTAGTTCGAAAGCGAGCTGGGGAACCAGTCTCGACAATTCACTGGTCCAATTTACCTTTTTATCCCAAAGAACACGTATTCTTAAAAAGTATGTTTATATTCTTAAGCTTTCAAATTCGTGCAGGAACTCATTGTCAGAGGTAGCAATAGCAACAAAAAGGGGACAATTGTAGGCGGGGTATAACCCATTCGAATCTCGGTGATTCACGTCTGGACGTGACTGCGCGGGGCTCTGTACGCTGGCGCCAAATCGATATATTGATTGGTTGAGTTCCCATCAGCGGACCCGGCTTCAGCTCTTCTTGTTTCCGGTATAGGCGAGTATCTTGACGGCCGCGAATTTGAATTCATAACCCGTTTCACAGGTGTGGCGCTGGCGTACATAGCCCTACGTAGTCACTTTCGGAAATGTAGTTGATTGTTTTATACCCTGCCTGTAATTTTCCCATTGTTTGGTTTCTGTTCTTCCTACGTGGTTGAAAGTTGATGACAATAACGAAATTGTTCCGTTTCCACATTGGCCTTCTTTTTTACTCACCTATAACGCAAACTTTCACATTCGTTCGCAGACATCAGAGTTTCCATTTTTATCGGTTCGATAGGGGGACACTGGACGTACTTGTTCCTAACTTGCGTCTTTGTGTTGAAATCGACTTAATTTAAGTAAATGCTGTGGTCTTTCTAAAAGTTCAACTGGAAACACCGACCCTGATATTCAACTGACGACGATCCTTGGTACCTGATGTTGTCTAGCAAACATTTATGCAAGCCAACATTACTCTATGACATTTACTTCTCTACTTTGTTTGTGTTTGTGTCTCAGGGATGGACTGATTTTCCCCGACTACAAAAGACCGAGCACTCCCCTGGGCGTTCTTCACTTCCCCACGGGACTTTCTTATGATCCACCAACCACCTTTGGTGCCTTTTTACCGCCTACTCATCTGAAGCATAGCCCTTCACAGCCATCCCCCCAACAGCAATTCCAATCCTACCCATTTGCTCCGGCCTCCTCAACCAGCGACAGCGTATGTTCACGTTTTCCCATTTAACTTTTCTACTGATTTCATTGTCAGTAGCTATATCATATATCTACTTTTTGCCCTCCCGTTCTTATAGAAAATTGGTTGTCTGCCGTCCGCTACCTTCAAGACCTCCGCTTCTCTGGACCTTATGAGCACTCGAGTTATCCCCTCCGTTGGAAGACAATCAGACTGTGAGTTTTATTGCGTGTCTGTAGTGGAAATCTGCCGGCCGGCCGTTCCTAACTCACCTTTTTTCTATTGACATGCCCCCTATTTCTGACATTTTTCAGATGATGGAATGACGACCGATTTCGGTGACGATGAGGCCACACAGAATTCTCCCTCACGGACCGATCCCAGTAGGTCAGAGCTGGACGAAGAAATGACCAGACCGCCGTCAGGCATGGAAAGTTCATGGATGTCGGAGAAGGATAGAAGTTGTGAGTTTAGTGGAAGCAATATTCCGCCCGGGCAGCCCGATGCTGTGGACTGTTGTGGGATGGAACCGTGCGCCAACGACCAAATGACTGACTCTCTGCTTGTTGAGACCGGCGGCCCCATCGAAGATGACCTCTCTGAATTCAGCTGCGCACCGTCTTCCGTCTCCAAGCCTGCTTGTTGTTGCAAAAATGGCGAATGCTGCGAACTTCCGCACGGCGGTCGCTTGGATGACGTAAGTTGCCGGTTCAGCTACCCCTCTGCACCGCAGACGCGGCTGAGTTCTCTTCCTCGGAATTATGATAAAAATGCAACCTACTTATGTTTATTCAGTAGCTTTTTAATAAATCTTTTAGCCTCGTAATGACTACCGAAATGACTACGCTCCACCGAGCGATGCGTCGTTGCCGCCCCATCCAGCAGTCAATGGGGACCAGAATAAACGTTCATGTCTCCCGGAAATTGCGCCCGTGGGCCTTCCCAATTTTCAGTGCACTCGTGTTGATGGTTTTTCCAACATGGTTCCGCTTACAGGGGCATACGACAATTTACCCCAAGTCTATCGGCCCCTTCCAAATAGTGATCTGTTTCCAGCGCAACCTGCCTTTCAGCCACACGCCTCCTTTTCACCAGCAAAGGGCAAGCTTTCAGGAACTTACCGGTAAGCGGTAGTTTGAGCCCCTTTGGGTTGTGTTCCTTTTCGCCTCCTCTCCGGTTGAACAATGTTCTTTTAATTCCTCTGTCTCTTTTTTATTAGCTCCGAGTATGATAATGCCTCTTCTGGACGGGGATCAGAGCGACGGACACCACAGCGCCACAACCAGCCACTCAACAGGCTCGGTGATTATAGCAGCCGTCATCGCAATGTCGCAATGGTATTGCGGCAGCGTCTTGATGCTGCGGCAGCCCAGAAGACTGCCTCTCCTGGA